GTCAATCATTCATCGCTTTTATTCATGTGTGTGCATACCTATTTCGCTTGTCATATGTCTGTCTTATTCTTATCTGACTATATATTCTTAGTCATACTCTATCTCTTTGAGTTGGCTCACTAGCCTTCTCCAATTCGCTCCGCTCATTCGCTTGCATTGTAATCCAAAGAGTTGGCTCACTAGCCTTCTCCAATTCGCTTCTCCGCTTCCTAATGTGGTGTGCCTCAAATAAACGTATACGATACTTGGAGTTCATCTTTTGATTTATTAACCGTCAGACGTCATTTGGGATAAGACAATCCGAACGAGCTTAAGAACACGCAGATGCATCGACACACCTCATCTGGTAAGCCCGACGTTTCCAGTAATAATTCGACGATTCCGATGACAAATCGAATATAACCAATCAGTTGGTAATCTCGAGGACAAATCGAACCGAACCACTAACTGGAATTCCCGACGCCATGCAGCGACAAAGCAGCTCAGGAAAATTAATGAATTCGCTGATCGAATCAGATTCAATATACAACACAGACAACGCACTCTCTCATCGGACGAAAGCAGCTAACCCACGTCAGCGGTAATATGCACATACAAAAATCGTATTATCTTATTATCATTTTGATGACTTATTAACTCGCTGCATGAATCCATTTCTCGAATTATCCAATTATCGCTATCATTATCGTATTAATGTGAAAGAACCATTATTATGATTAATCAGGATATTATGACAATAATGGAATTATCTTAATCGCTAATCGAATCGCATTTCGAATATTGTATTCACGGCACGACATTTGTAACTCACGGAATTATTTTTCGATACCATGAACGACATTCATGATTAAGGTGAGTTCATTCCATTTATTTTGCCGTATAGCATTATTATGTTTCGAATCGCTTATCAAAGCAATGGCTCAACGACAATTATCATCCATTAATATTTCCGTGGCTATACGATTATCGCATTGGAGATATTTTCGATCTACTCATCAGCTGCTCGTACTCGAAAATCTTGCAGCCTGCTAAGTAAATTGGTGGTATGATATTACGCACATGCACACAAAACAGCAGTTCAAGCAGTCGAGCGAACCTCCTGCACGCTGATATTAGCATGTTTTTTGACTACCCCAACGCTAGCAACGGTTTGCAACGCTATCATACACATAAGTTTGGAGTCATATACTCAATGGTAGTAACTTATGTTCTCGATATGCATCTAGTGTTTATGCATCTCATTGGTACGCAGCTTTATTCTCCAAATTTTTTCACGATAATCCCGACCGCGATTTCGCCACCTATCTGCAGCCACTCGATTTATCGATGAGTCTTACCGTAATGTCTATACGATTATCGAATTCCGTCTCAACTGTCATGCCTAAACGATATTAAATATTTTGCAGCATTTGTATTACATTTTCGTATCGTACAACTGCTCCTAATGTATTCTATTCGAAATCGATTATTTTTGCTAATAACCGCTTACCACATATTTTTGATCATCTGTTAATATGCGAACTTACGAACGTACCCGGACACGGTAACTTTAACTTCCGAAACTTTTGATGTTTTCCGACAATTTTGATTTTTTTTCTCGCAAACAAAGACATTTTCGTAACCTTGTTTGCTGGAAGGGGGCTATTGTAGTGCCTCCACATATATTTCAGTTCTCTCACATCTAACTTGGTTAAGCCCTTTCGATTAATTTATTTAACCAAGCCATTTGTATAGCAACAACTCATATGTACCATTGGTATTTTTTATTATCTGCTTTGTATGAGCTTGTACGACTGAGCATTGCTTACGCTTACGCACTTACTCATCCTTTTCGCTTTAATGTTAATCTCGTAATATTCCCATGAGCTCACATGATTTGTATCGCTTGCATTTGACCTTGTCAATCATTCGTCGCTTTTATTCATGTGTGTGCATACCTATTTCGCTTGTCATATGTCTGTCTTATTCTTATCTGACTATATATTCTTAGTCATACTCTATCTCAAGGAGTTGGCTCACTAGCCTTCTCCACGTCGCTTCGTTCATTCGCTTGCATTGTAATCCAAAGAGTTGGCTCACTAGCCTTCTCCACGTCGCCTCTTCAATTCGCTATGTGGTGTGACTCAAATAAACGTATACGAAACTTGGAGTTCATCTTCTGATTTATTAACCGTCAGACGTCATTTGGGATAAGACAATCTGAACGAGCGTATGAACACGCAGATGCATCGACACACCTCACATGTCATCCCATGATGTCTTCATATCCAGTGTTGTCCATTCCAACCTCGGCATTCAGGTCTCACATAAGAATCGTCAAATCCTTTGAAGAACATTTCTCGACGATCGACTGCAGCCTTTCGTAGAATTGATCTTTAACGTCGTCATTGTAGTCATTGGTAGGTACGTAACATTGGATGACGTTCATTATAATGTCCTCTTTCTTTGTTTTGAAGGATGCTTTGATGATCCTCGGCCCATGAGATTCCCATCCTATCAGTGCCTTTTGTGCATGTTTGGACAGCATCAGTGCAATTCCTTGTGTATGTGAAGCATTTTCCTCTTCATGACCAGAGTATAACAGCAGTTCCCCTGAAGCTAGTCTCAGTCGTCCTACCTGTGTCCAATGCGTTTCACTGATGCCGAGCACCTCGAGATTGTATCTTTTCATTTCTGCCACAAACTGAAGTAGTCTTCCAGTTTCCCACAATGTATGAACTCGTCTTTCATCACGCGACCTCAAAATTCTTCTTCCAACTCCCAGGGCAGTTTTAAAATGGTTTGAATTATTTTTTCTGGTTAGCGTTTTATTGGCAAGTTAGTTTATAGTTTGCACGTGGGCGCCAACCCCATGTTCGAACCTTCCTCCTCATCTGGGCTTGTGACCGGCAGTAGCCCCTAAGGTTCTACTGGCGGAGTTAAATAGTTTAAACTCAAACAAACAAATTTAAGTAATAGATATTTTATTGAACATTCTTTAATTTTGTAAAATTTATTTATAAACTACCTATCTAGAATTGAAGAACAATTGAAACTCGAAAAAATTGCCACCCAACATCAAAGTCAAAATTTTCACTACAAAAGTCATGAGAGTCCCACTGTATGGCGCAGAGACTTCAAGAACCATGAAAGCCATCATCCGGATGGTACAAGTATTCATTAACAGTCGTCTATGCAAGATACAAATTACTGTGAGTTAGAACAAACTCGATTCCAGATGAGGAATAAATTCCTAAAAAGATGTGTAGGACATATTGAGGAAGCACCCAGTTGCGTCACAAAAAACAATCCTGAAGGCTAATACATTAGAGAGAGACCAAAAAGCATATTACGCCGAGAAATGGAGATAGACATGAGAAGAATGAACAAAAATCGGAAAAAACTAGAAATGTTGACTCAGGACAGTGTAGGCTGGAGAATGACGGTCGGCAGCCTATGCTCAGTTGGGAATAACAAGCGTTAATAAGTAATTAGGTAAGTAAGTAAGTATCTAGAATAAATAAAAAAAGACCCAGCAGTGGAAACAAGTATGCAAATTTCGTACAATAGGCATGAATCGAAGAGCTGATATACGCTCCTAGACATATGCTTATGACAAGCTGCAAACAGGACGCAAATGCATCTTATATTTCATGACAAAATATACCGAATTTTTCTACAAAATCTTATAACATACTAGCAGATACCCAACTAAATCTAATCAAAATACATTCAGATTATCAACAAACCATTACGAATAAAAATTCTAACTGTCTAGACTGTGAGACTTTTGGTTCTATTTGGAAAAACAAACTCTGAAGATTTAGCATTTTTAATTGTATTTCATTCACATTGAGCTTACTTAGTTTCACTATTCTAACTTATATCAATTTTATGCATAATATTAATACTGTCTAATATACGCTTGAGTAAATTATTTTGCATATTCTGTAACTGTCTCTATGAGCAGACTATATTTATCAGCTAGACATTTAGTTATAAGAATATTGGATTTGTGAATCAATTATTGTTAGACTAACGTTAGAAAAATGGAGGCACTCGATAGCCGTTTCATCCCCAGTATGGGACTAGTCAGTAGTGCGCATCTCCACAACTCTCATATACGAGAATCGAACCCTGGACCATCGGTCTCGCCCCTGGTGACACTCTTAACTTCTAGATCACTAAGCCGGGCTGACATCCAACTGTGTCAATGACTAATTTTAAATAATCTAAGGATTTGGTACAACCTCACCTAATGTCTTCGGTAGTTTCTGTCACTCGAGCATTGCTCGTATATCCTGGGACAGCCGAGTGAGCAACGTTGTTATTAGGATTCGGGTGCTAGGTAAGAATGACAGATCAATAGATGAAGTAATGAAACTTCATCAGTTGAGTTGGTTGGGACATGTGTTGCGTATGCCTAACCACCGACTGCCTCGACGAACTATGTTTTGTAGTGTAGGAATAGGTTGGAAGAAAGCTAGTGGCGGCCAAACCAAAACATGACAGAAATCCATGAAGTCATTGACAAGTGAACTGAGTCATGTTGGTAGTTGTCGACTAACTGGTTGGGGTCCGCGAGATGATAATAATCGATGGTTAGAGACATGGCTCAAAACCGTTTGCAATGGCGCCGGTGCATTTATTCTTTATATTCTCTCAAATCCTGATCTTCTGGATTCTTCAATATCTCTAGTTTTGACTTTCTAAACTTTTCTCACTGAATCATACTTCTTGAATAATATCTTCTGATCCTAACCTCTCCGATTACTCCTAATACCTTGACTACCTCCTCTACTTTTAGATTTGAA